CGACCAGTGTTATTGTGTAGTAGTGTCTGTGAACATCTTTTTAGTGGCCCTACTGCACAGTAGCCTAATCATACTGTGCAGTAGCATGTTATCACTGTTTGTGTTGTGATGCACTACTGTGTAGTGTCATTAGACTGCTGTGCAGTTAGCATCTCAAGTAGATGCACCCATTGAGTATATAAATTCATTTGAGTCATGCCCTCTCATTGTTTTCCAAATTCTAACAGAACTTTAAGAGTCAAGGTAAATAAAATCTTAGGATATAGGAAATATTCAGGATAGTCCTCTCCTTACTCACTTAGCTACATTTAGCAACCTATTTGACATCATTTACTCTGACTGGAGGCAGCTATTTCATGCAACATCATGCAAAAAAATAGCATCATGAAATGCCTAGAACAAGTTTTTGAAAAACTGACACTTAAGTAGACATGGCTCCCATTCTTCCCCAGATCCAGTACATTATGTCTGCATGTTATATGATACCTACCAGACATTGTTAAAGTTGAGCCTAGTCCTGAAATCTTAACTAATGTAACTCCTCTTAATGAAACCAAATCAATTGACTTGGGGCTTTGTGGCTGGATGGTTCCCTGTGTAGACTCAGGTCTCTTTCATATTCATCTGATGGTCTGATGTTCCTTCAAACCTGCTGATACTTTTGAGGCAAACTGCAATACTCACTGATAATTTTGTATGAGACTTTTTGATCTTTGTAAAGCACAGATCAGATGGCAAGGACCTTGATTTACAAAGATGTTAGTATTTGATGTATTATTACCTAAAGATGACAATATCTTTCACATTCTTTTTTGAAGGTTGACAGAAATTTTGAACAAAAGTACTACACGCAGTTTATGAGATGTTTTTCAGAAGCAAAACACTGCTTTGTTCTTCATCAGCTGTTTCACATTTAACTACACAGAGAAGCACTTACAACATAATCATAATCTGTATTGCTTGGCATCAGTGAGTCCTGATAAAGTCATTTAACTACCTGTGAAAAATACAGTTTGGAAGTCTGCCTTTGTGCACAAATGTAAATAAAAGGCAATTAGCCTCAGAGAGGGCACCATTTGGCTTCCAAGGGAGGTGGTGTTCTCTCCTACCTTGGGGGTCTTTAAGAGGAGACTGGACAAGCACCTGGCTGGGGTCATATGACCCTAGTGCTCTTTCCTGCCCAGGGCAGAGGGGCAGACTTTATGATCTATTGAGGTCCATTCTGACCCTAACTACTATGAAACGATGATGCTTTTGGGCAGAAGAGTTAAAGTCATGATTGCATACGTAGTTGCAGGTGGTTAAAATGATCTCAAGGGTCTTAATGTGAGTGAGAGCGTAAGTTTGCCTACTGAAAGAAAAACTCTGTTTAATTATTAAGATATCACACTTCAGTTCATTCATCACCCAATAATGGCAGCATAGTGATTAACCTGAACTTAAAACATTTCCTGAGGAGAAATGACCAGCAGGAAATGGATAAGGCTGAAGGCCAAGTGAATGAATTTCCTGAATTAAATCTACATTGAAAAATTAGAGTACTAAGGAACTAAGCTAGTAGTATTTTTGCTGTTTAGTAACATTGCAGTACATTCTTAGATTGGTGAAGTCATAATAACTGAATAATTCAGAAAAATAAGCATAAAAAGGAGTCCATTTTAAACATGATACATATAGTAATTCTATAACTTCTGAAAATCTGAGTGGATTTTATAGTGTAATATATGTGAAATGATATATGCGTAAATGAGTTTCGAAATCAACAGAAAAAGGTCATGTTTAAAGTACAGAAAATATTTTAATAACTTTGTACAAAGCTGATCTATTACACAAGTTGTTAGAAACCAATAAAACTTCTATTCCTATGTAACATATTGTACGTGTATAATATAAAATATGCATGTGCAACAAGAATACCACATACACACATATATAAACCCTTCTATAAAATGTTCTCATTAGCTTTCCTTACTATGAAGTCTACATTTCACATGATACGCATATAAGAGGCTATACAAAATAAATCAGTGTTGAACATTCCCACCTGCAAACAGGATTTTCATATGAAAGATGCATCTTCTCAGAAACAATACTCAGGTATGTAAAAGTTTATTCTACACTTGGACGCTCAGGGTCATAAGTTCCTAAGTAGAGCTCAATCCAAGTGACTGTTGAAGTCAATGCAAGTCTAAATCATGCATTTTATTTGGTCCTGAATTAGTTTCTCAGGGTAACATTTTACCAATATTTTTTGTACATGGCAAACTTTGCTTGTTTAAGTAGCCCCAAAATACATTAATAAAGTGTCATGTAGATATTGGCAGAGCTGGAATCTCAGAAGCTGGGCATGGGCCACTTAAAAAAATCGGCTAAACAAATATTTTAAGGTGTTCTATTCAACAATACAATGAAGTCAGTGATTCAGTCCTGAAATAAGCAATGAAGTAGCACCATAGACAAGATATGATTTAGATCAGGGCTGCTCAGCTGGTGGCCCACAAGTCACATGCAGTACCCAAGCTCCTGCTCCTGGCTCCACTCCTAGCTTTTCTCTATACCCAGAGTCCCTGGGCTTCCCCTCCCTCCTCAAGCTTCTTGTGCCTGCCCCCTATCCCTGGCCCTGCCCCTACCCTGTCCCTTGGGCTGGGACAGGGTAACCTAGTTTGCAGGGCTGAGGGAGTCTGTAACCATAGGGCTCATGGAACCTTCCATGCTGGTGCAGTGTAGAGAGAGTCACCCACCACCCAGGGGTAGGGGGGACAGTGTGTTGCATTGCATCCATGTAGCACAGAGCAAGGAGGGCTGTATGGTACATCTGCACAGCATGGGGGGATGGAGGGCTGTGCATGGTTTGTCTGCACAGTGCATCCACATTGGGAAGGGGTGAAGGAAGTTTGTAGGTTGGGGGGGCTTGCATGGCCTGTCAGCGGACTGTGTGGTGTGGCACAGGGTGGGATAGAATGATGCAGTGTGTGACCCACATGGTATTTCCCAAGGTTGTATCTAGTCTGCATAGTCCTGCAACCCTCAGCCACTCAGAAGTTGAAGAGCCCTGGTTTAGACTGCAAAAGCAATTATCTTTTAACAAGTCTGTAGTGTCTAATTTCTGTAAATGTCACCAATTTATCTTGAAAGTGAAGAAACTGTGGCTGAAGACTACTTTGTAACCAAACAGTTCATTCATGATGTTAACTTCATCTGGAAGCTCTTTTTTTCATACAGGGTTTGAGATCTGTAAATTTGGAGTACTAAACTCAGAACTGTTTCCAGTGGCAGCATTGTGACAGCTAAACAAAGCTAGAGAATGTAAGAGCATTTCTTTGGCTTTAGATGTTTCTATATTATGTTCCTGGGACAACTGAAGACTTAGCTGATTTAAGTTATTCATTATCAAACTGGAAGTCTGGAGGTTTGTTACAGAGCCACATCTAGTCAGGTTTTCTTCAAAAACCTGTTTATAGAGCTCTTCCATCTTTCTATCCATGTAACTGTTGAGCACAGAATTTGAAAGAGGTTGTTTGTGGAGTGTCATACTCTTTTCTGTACCTTCATCCCCATTCAAGAACTTTGCAGCAGTTTTTTCAAGAGGCTCCTTTGGAGGTGAATGACCTAAGGGAATATCTACTGACACTAAAACAGGGCCATCAGGGAGTTTATCGCATGTGTCATCCATAACACAACCTGAATCAAGCATATAGTCCCCTACATGGTCTCCTGCAATATGTAGGTCAGGGTAGTTTTGATAAATGCTGTGGCATGACCAGGACCTATACAAATCCAACTGTTTTTCATTATTGTGTTCCCTTTCTGGTATATGTAAACCTGTAAATATGGTTCCATTAACATGTACATTATTATGTTCTTTTACAGGTAGCTTTTCTGTTGATTCACATGGAAGAAGAACTTTATTGTGTTCCTTCTTGCTGTCTTTTGCAATGATCTTGTCCTGCTTCTTAGATTTTGTAGCAAGGTCTTCAGTTGCCAGTCTATCCACAAGATGATCTTTCCAGGTTTCCTTCTTTTCTTTTTTGCTGATGTCACATCTGTGGGGTTTATTTTGTTTCTTTTCTCTGTATATAATTCCTGTTAGGATGCCTTCTGCCAACATTATGGCTGGTGCTAGAGACCAACTAACTAGCACAATACAGTATATTTCTGCAAAAGCAAACATGACATGTAAGGTAATGTAAAATAAAGGAAATTATAAAAGTAAAATTGTAAAAGTAAAATATATGTTTCAAGGAGACTGGAGTATGGTTTATACATAAATAGCACTTTGATTGCTTTTTCACAAATCTGTTTTTATTCCAAGGTAAAGTAAAGCTATTTTGGCAACAAAAAGTCATTCTAAAGACAAAATAACCCCAAAAACTAAAAATTGGATCCTTACTTTTCTATATCAGCTCAGTCCTGGATATCACTTGTGAATGATGGCTAATTGTGATAATTTGTACACATGTACTATAATCTGGTAAGGACTAATTTATAATCATAGAATTATTTTCATTGGACTGGACCAAATTCTCAGCTGGTACGAATCACGATAAATTCTTTGAAAGACATTGGTTCATACCAGTTGATAATCTGGCTCAGGGATGTCCAACTGGTGGCACATGAGGGGTTAACATGTTCCTGTCTCCCACATGGCTGCCATTACCTTTTTTCACCCTGGCCATTGCCTTTTTCACTCACTCACACAGCAGCCAGGGTCTCAGGGCTCCCCCTCCCACCATAAATACAGCACTACTCAATTCATCTTCCAAAAGAAGCAACCTCTCAACTATCAGCCAACACTATACAGCATGTACTGTACTGAACTTTTGTATTACTAAGGCTCAATAGTTTCACTACATAAGCTATAGTTTATTCACTAGAACAGTGGAAGCCAATATTTTGGCAAGTGTACCACAAATTGGCCCTGCACCATCCAAGTGCCACTTCAATCCCTCCACCCTGTCCGATCTGCTGCTCTGCTTTCTGGTGCCAGCCCTATGCTCCCTCCCTGCTTTCTGCTTCCTTCCCTGTGTTCTTTGCCCCACTTGCTGCTTTAATATCTGCTTCTTGCCTTATCTGCTACCATGCTGCCTATCTCCTTCCTGATCTGCTGTGTGCCACACAGATGGGCTCCCCATACCATTTATAGCACCCATGCTGCAGGTTGGCCACCTCTGCACTAATACATCATGAAATGTTGTCTTGAATAATTAAAAACTAAATGTTGTGTCTCAAAATGATGTATATATTAGCCACTACATGTTGTGATTCTTTGGCATTGCCTTTTATTTGTATTAAGTCTTGATGCAGCTGTTGTCAAAATCAACAGCAAAATTCCAAAGGTTTCAGAGAAGGATCAAATGTTTTGGGCTCCATCCGTTTTCCATTGAAATCAAACCAAGTTTTTTCCACGAACCTCAGTGTGAGTTCATCTGACCTAAAAAGGCTGAGGGTTTTCCCATTAGACTCTAGTGGGAAAGAGGAATACAAGAAGGCTCCTTTTTATTTGAATGTCTTTGCAATGTAGTCTCTGTGTATGGAATCTATTCTCTTTGCACAGCTCTGGGGCACACATTCCCTCACAGAAAGGAGGGAGAGGCAAGAAGTAAGGCAAACACATTGAAGAAGGTATAACAAACCCTTGGAAGTATACTGCCCAGCAGAGATGACCTTTCTCATGTGCAAGAGAGTCCAGATTAGAGTTCTACTTAAATGGCGG